TATGTAATGTTACTGCAATGCTGCAGCAGTGTTGATGCCACTTTTGTGCAACTTTGTGCTGTAAGGATATAGATGTTAAACTCGCGCAGCAAGTTATAGCTTTGCTGAATCACTTGATCTACTTTTTCCGTGATGATGTTCCCATAAGGTAAATGGCAGTGTAATAGTGTATTAGGATGTGATACCACTAATTATGTTCTTAACAGTTAATCGAGCTTTTTGTACATATACTTGTGCAAGATGGACAATATATATATAATTTCTTTCAATTCTTTCATTCTGTAATTAACTAAAATAAATTTGTATCAAACATATACGGCATATAACACGCAGTATTAGGCACTCGAGGGACGATTGTGCACGTTTTGCATCACTAATTAAGAGGAACTCTCTTACGATGACTTCATCGTTAGACTACGACGCTTCGTCTGTTGCTCTTGCAATGGGGACTATACACTTCTAATTTGTCCCGCGGTGTGTTCATCGCGGAATAATCGATGGGGAATGGTATGGTATTACCGCGAATCATGCAAGCATCCGTCATGCCCAGGAAATGCTCTCCCGGTCCGAACGGGCCGCGGCCGAACAAGAAATTGGCGAATATTAACTGATACTGCGCCCAGCCAAGAGGATGGTCTCCATTCTGAAATGAAGTTTTTCTATCATTAACAAATTTATCTATTATTAACAAATTTTAATGATAAAGGATTAATTGCTCTTATTAAAAAGTAATAAGAATTTAATAAAGACGTATAAAAGAAATATATAATTGTCTTTCTGTATAAATGATGCTATTAGTTTAGGTCTTGCAAAATCTTACTTTAAGAAACCATCAAGCTGTAAGAAATTGATCATAGTAGATTATTTTTCTCATATTCAACTGTGATTGAGCAAGTTCTTATAGCGGCTTTTTAAAGCAAGGTTGCGGATTTAGATCAAAGCAAGGTGGACCTATAGATTAATAGCTTATTGTAGACTGTGTATAAGACTTTTTACTTCCTAAAGTTATGACTTTTCTTAATCCTCCAAATCCTACTATATTTATTTGTTTAAGCTCTTGTTACAAAAAATTTAAGAAAATAGATCTACTTAATACAAATAAAAAATTTAGTCGCATTAAATTACAATTTTAATTTTTTAGGAAATTAATTTAGAAATCTAACTAACCGAAGTCATAGAATTGTACGCGATATCCAGGCACTTGTTTATCCTGTCGGTGTCCAAACCGACCACGGAACCATAAAAGGCCGCGAGTTCCTTTTTGCTGATCATCCCACTTCCGGAGCTATTTATGGCGAGGAAAAATACTCTGGGCATAACTTTGATCCAGAACGGCATATCATTGTAACTAGCACCGTCCGGCGGTGCAACGATCTGCGCCCACCAAGATAACCAGGCCTCGAGATCGATCTTTTTATCCAGCTCCGTGAGTCCTTTCTTATCCTGAAGGATCAATCCGGCGAATCCGTTTTCGATCTCCAGAAGTCTTAAATACTCAGGACCGTTCCATGACCAATCAGCAAATCTTCTCAAACGCTTTCCGAAAAAAAGTATTATTTTTTTGGATAGATGTCTTGATGGTTATCGATTTTATTGTATAGATATGTAATTATAAATTTAAAATAATGTAATATTTTTTTATATACATATGTCGCGGTTCTAACTAATAAAACATTTTTGCGTTATTTTACTAAAGACTCCTATTCTTTTTTTCATAGAAATGTAGAAGAGAAAATTTTAAAACCTGAGTTTTTTAAATGTTATACTCTTATTTTATAAAAATGAATAGGAAATCAAATTTTTGAAAGCAAAGTGTACCTCGGAGAATAATGAAAAGTCCTTCCTATTGATGTAACCATCTTTATCGTGGTCTAAGAGGTATGTAAAAAAATGAGAAAATTTATCACGTTGAATGGGAGCTAAGGCCTCCGAACCCCCACTTTTACTAAATTCAATGGCGGATAAACTGTCGTCACT